TCTTCTCCCCAAGTGCTGGCCGCAGCACCGGGCCCCACTCCTGCCCAGGTCCCGGCTTCACCCGGAGAAGTTCTGAAAGACGGGGGCGGCCTCCACCCAGCTTTGGAAGCAGGCCGGGCCCCGCTCCCGGATCTGCTTGCGCCCTTTGTCGGTGATGACCTCCCCACTGGGCTTCAGGATCACAAGCTTGGGGGTGGCTGTGACGCGGTACCTGGTCCTCAGCTCACTGCGGAGAGAAGGGGGCAGGCCAGGGTCAGCGGGCGGGGCAGCTGTGCCCCAGCCAACCCTGCACAGACTCAGGGCCACGCCCGCCAGGGGCCCGGAGCCTCCTTCCTTCTGCGTCGCCCTCCCCGAGCCTGTCCCAGAGCGTCAGCAGCTGGGCTGCTCGGGCCTGTGCTGCCCACGACCATGGCACAGACACGAGGGGCAGAGGAGCCCTCACAACGTGGCTGCTGTGACTTTCATAGTTCATTTTCATTTAAATTTAAGAAGCCACATGTCATGGCTATTGTACTGCGCAGTGCAATTCTAAACCCACAAATAACCCCAATACATTCATATTCCTCTCCACATCTTAAGAGGCGGAAAATACCAGGTGGAGAGGACGGTAACAGTTAAATTCTATGAGTCCTAAGTAAAGGCAAAGCTTACTCGCTTCCCGCCCCTCCCATTCCAGGGCCTGCTGACACGCTGTGGAGGAAACTGTTCTTGGCTACTTCACCGCCATGTGACCCCACAAGAGGCCTTTCACACAATGGTTTGCAAGTATTTAGGGAAAGGAGCCTCCGCCTTCGTTTTGCAAATCTCCCCACACCCTTCCCAGGTGCTGCCCTCAGGACAGGGCGGCTGGTGGCCATCCCCTCCAGTGCCCCCGGCCAGCCTGCAGGAGCCTCCGCCAACAGCAATCCGCTTTCCCTCATCTGTCACCCTCAGGATGTGGACCTGAGTGGAAGGGAAAATGCACGTGACCTCGTGTTAGCAAATCTTCCCCGGACACCTCCATCCAGGTCCCGACTGTTTCCAGCACCAGGCCCCCACTGCTCTCCCCAGGGCAGGAACGCACACAGGGCACCTACTCCCACTTCAAACACCTACGACACAGTGACCAGCCGGCCCTGCTCTGGCCACAGGGGGTCTCACTAAATGTCAAATAATCAGTGTACACGGACCACTTCATCAGACCATAATATGGCATTGCAACTGGAAACCAACAAAAGTAATTGTTTGGGATGAGCTTAAAAACTAAATAGCCATGGATTGTATGTGAAACAGCAATGCAGGCTACAAAATAATGAACACGGAGCACTGTGGAACATACTACAATCCCAAACTGGAGACACAAGCTGACTCAGAACCAGTGCCGCCCTGTGGAGCGCAGGAAAGAGGAAGGTGGGAGAAGGCGCCGCCAAGACACCACCGCCCCTCATCACCAGGAGGGACGGATGGGGCAGGGCCACCGGCTGCAGCCAGGCCTGAAACCAACGGCGCAGGGCGAGCCCGGAGCTGCACCCTCAGGGGCTCCCTCCTCCAGACCAGCTCCTGCCTGCACCTGCAGGTGTTCCAGCTTAGCGGATATTTGTTTCCCTTCGATTTGCTGCTGCTGTTTTCATCTCTGGCAACATTAAATCAAGCTCTGACACAGTAAACTGAGCTTTGAGGAGCAAGGAGGAGGTTTGGGATGGACGTTTTGTTTCTCCAGCTTATCCTGAAGGAGTCACAGTGTGGGCCTCACATCCTCACGCTGGCAGCCTCTGCCTGGGGACAACTGTAACCCTGGAGCTGCACAGGAGCCATACCTTCTCCCTGGACTCAGCCCCATCCCCTCTGGATGCTGAGCTGTGCCCAGAGAGAACCGCCTGTGCCCTGTCGCTGGGCAGAGGGAAGTCGTGGTCACAGAGCATTTTAACCATTTCAGGGACATCTGAGAGCCCAGCTCCTCCTGGCCCACGGTGCTGGTGCTGGTGCTGGTGCTGGTGCTGGCGCTGGTGCTGTGGCAAAACTGGCATCCTCCCTTCACCTAACGCAGTGCCTCACACTCCCTGGCACAGCCGCCTCTCGGTCACCATAGCAACTCGGGGCTCCAGTCTCTTTCCATCTTGGCCACCAGCAGACTGTTACAGAGCAAAACTCTCTCCTTATCCCAACCATGCATCCAACAAGCGCCCTGCAGACACAAAGCTCTGCACAATGTCTAGTCGGACCTTAGGGCTACAGAGAACCCCAAAGACTCCAACTTATAGTGTTAGGCTCGAACCATGGAGGGCACAGGCCTCCCAGGCCAGAGATGTGCCCGGTGTCCCCAAGGGCACGGCAGAGGAGGGTCTGCCAAGGGGGCTCCATGGTTGGGGGATGTGGTACGTAAAACCTTTAGGGTGGGAAGTGTGGGAAGTGTGGGAAGTGTTCTGGAACCTCAGTTGTCCAGTCTGGACAGAACACAGGTGGAAAGGGCAGGGGTGGGAGACAATGTGGTCAAATGCTGGGCGCAGGAAGATGCAGACTGAGAGCCACTGGAGAGCCGGCAAGGGCACGGCAGGACCAGACCTGTCTTTGATGAGATGAGGCAGGTGTGAGAATAAGAATCCATTCAGTGGGGACACAGAGGCTGGGGGCCGATTAGACTGTTCTAGCAGTCCGGGACCTGACTGAAGGAGAAATGAGCAGAAAGACCGGAAAGGACTGGAGAGCCGCAGACTCAGCAGATTCGGGGCCTGACGCATGTGCTGGGTCAGGACGTCCAGAAGGAGCTGGGCCCGCAGGTGGCGAGGCCACGGTCGAGCAGCCTGGCCCACGCACTGACTCACCCACGGTTCTGAGGGCTCTGCTGGGGCTGTTCTCCACCCTGGACATGAGCTGGTTCTCCATCCGTCCCAACTGCTGACCTGGAGGCCAAGGTGCTCCATCCATGGGGCCATGGGCGGGGCAGTGGTGAGAACGGGGGGAGGGGGAACATGTGTTGTTACTTCTTCCTGGGCCCACAACACAGGGAAGGAAGCCAGACAGGGTGGCCGGGCCGTGGTGCTGCCCCAAGCCAGGCCTGGGAGGTCACCCCTCCTCTTGCCCACACCGCCTGTGGCTGAGGGATGCCAGTATGCACGCCCCTGTCCAGGCAGAGGAGGGGCACTCACACTGGTTTGCAGGGGCTGCACTGCAAAGCCAAGGTCTACGGAGCTCTGAGGACAAGGTGAGCACCTGGCACTTTCTTCCTGCCGGGCCCGGGCCCAGCCATGCCAACGGGACCTGTGGGGGCTCTGTGGTGGGTTCCTCTCTTCCTCCCACGAATCACCATCAGCCGTCACCCATGGACGGCTGTTACCATCGCCACTAGCCAGTTCATATTACAAACAGGAAGACAGCAAAAGGGAGGCCAGACATTGTAAGCACGGTTATCTGGGCAGCTTCACCAGCAAGCTGCAACTTCACGCTCCCTCATCCACTCCCTGCAGATCACTGCGGGAAAGAGCCCAACGAGGGGGAAAGGGATGCATGGGCAGTGAAGTCGGGGTGACGTAGGGAAGGCGCTGGCCTGTCAGTCTAACCTGGAAAAGGATAACTGGCTAGAGGGGGTGGAGCCACTGCAAGTGCACAAAATCCGAAGGATTCATTGGATAAGCTCCCGGTTAAAAACCACAGACAAAGGAATTCATATTCTCTCTCTCCCTCTCTCCCTCTCTCTCTCTGTCTCTCTCTCTCTCTCTCTCTCCTTTTGCTTCGCTCCTGCTTCCTGGCACTGGCTTCTTCCGTGACCCGAGCTAGCCTGCCCGGCACATGGCCGCGGACCTCACAGGCAATGGCCTGCAGCTGGGAACACAAGCTACGCCAGCCAGATGCTGGACCAGACCTGAATATGGACTTCTTCCAGGGCAGAGGGAGATGGCACCTCAGTGGAGAACTCCCTTAATGTTACATCATCAATAAAGCTTCCTACCATACCTCACCTCCCCCCGCCCCCCATGGAGGCCTCAGAAGTTCTTGTTCATGCGGCACCCCAAGAACTCCACTTCCATCAGCAACATGGGGACACAGAGGACACCCCACCAATAACACAGTCACCGAGGGAAGACAGGCCAGGGCCCTCACCATGACCCAGGGGGCCCAGGAGAGTACTTCCCAGCCCCATAGCACCAAGCAGAGTGCTATGTTCTGAACACAGTAGGACCTTCCCTCCTGCTGCCTGGATGCTCCCTACATTTTTTTTTTTTAATTGATTCCAGAGAGGAAGGAAGAGGGAGAGAGAGAAACATCAGTGATGAGAGAGAATCACTGATTGGCTGCCTCCTGCAGGCCCCCTACTGGGGATCGAGCCCACAATCCGGGCATATGCCCTTGACTGGAATCGAACCCAGGACCCTTCAGTCCCCAGGCCAGCGCTCTATCCACAGAGCCAAACCAGCCAGGGCCCTACATTTTTTTAAAATATATTTTTATTGATTTCAGAGAAGAAAGGAGCAGGAGAGGTAGAGAAACATCAGTGATGAGAGAGAATCATTGACTGGTTGCCTCCTGCACACCCCCACACTGGGGATCAAGCCCAAAACCCTCGCATGTGCCCTTGACCGGAATCAAACCGGGGACCCTTCAGTCTGCAGGCCTATGCTCTATCCACTGAGACAAACCAGCTAGGGAACTGTCACTTTCAAAACTGTGTTATTTCAAAAGCTGTGCATAACTTGAATACTAAGCAAATCAAAAGGCATTTTACGGCCGGCACTAGCCATGATGCTAAAGTGCATCCTTTTGCCGAGTGAACCCTGGTCACTGGGACTTACCTTTGAGGTCAGTAGCTGCCCCTGCTGTGAGAGAAGTGGGCTTGCCCGGCTCACCTCGCGCTCCCATCATGAAAGCAGGTGTTGGAGAAAGAAGCACACTTCCAGGGACTTGCAAAGGTAACTTCCATTTTTAATTGCCCAGAAAGAATGTCCTTTGAGGACAATTAATTTGGGAGGCTTCAGGCCACAGGGAAACCATAATCCCCAGAGAAATGCGCAGGTGCTCCGTAAACAAAGCCAGAAACCTCCCGTGCGCCCGCCCGCCGGGGGGCCGGGTAACGCACTCCGTG